ATAATAATTAACTAATTTTTATCATTCCTGTTCTTCGGAGTATAGAAGAGGAAGAACGACGCTAACAGTCACCATCCAATGTTTTAATTGAGGTTAAACAGCACATACAAGTCACGGGTTTGTATTTACTTTTCAAAGGAAATTGTAATGACTGGTGTTCGGGAAACTCATTGTAGGCTTTGCCTTAAAATTATAGCCGATAAAAGTTTCGAAGTGATAAACAACGTTATCAGGGATATTCTTGATGTTCTTTTGCTGAAACTGGTAAGTCATTGAAAGATTAGTTTCTACTATTTCAATTAGTGAACGTTATTTTGTGCCAAAGTTGTTGTCATTCTGTTTGATTAAAATGCGCACATTTCAGAAATTGGATGATGTGACCAAGGAGGTTATATGTAGTGTTTGCAAAAGTAAATTATACGCAGCATTAGACTTCAAGTCGGCTTGTTTGAATACCGATAACATAATTATTCCATATGTGGATTGCGAAAAAATGTTACAGCTCGACTTAAGGGAAGTGTACAGGAAGGAAAAGAGAGACGAGTCAATTTCAGAGAATCAGAAAATATGTCGATTGTGTATGCAACTAGTAACAAGTGAGTTTAGGTGCATACGTGAGGAGGAACTCGAAGCTATTCAGAAACTGACTCCTGAAATGGTATGAACCATGTTAAATATATTCATTGATCACAGCTTAAAAAAATTACTTTGCAGAATATAAATATCATCATAGATCCCGTTGTATGTAAGGTGTGTTTGGATTCCCTGTGCACCCACAACAGTTTCTGCAGAGAATGTTTGGAAGTAGAGGAAAACTTTAAAGGTAGTTCTGATGGTCAAGCCACAGAAAGTCAAGTTGGTACATCACCATCCAATTTATTCGTTAAGACTGAAAACTTGGACCGGGAATTCGATATTAACGAGATGGGAATGTCAATCAAAGCAGAAATTGTGGACATAAAATCTGAAAACGAGGAAAGAAGGTAAGGGAAGACTATTTTAGGATTAAAAAAATGGCAAAGTGCCTGATTGTGGTACTATCGTTAATTTATTAATGCGTATTATTAACTTGTGTTACCAAAATAGTCCAATCAAATCAGATTTAGTTCATTAAACAAAAACACGTAAAAATAAGAAAAAATTTCCTAGAATTTAAAAATGCCATCCGAAGTTTGCAAAAAACAGTTTAATAAAAAACATTTTAGAAAAAAATGTTTGAGTCAACAGTTGTAGGACTTTTTATGACAAAAATTTTGAACCTAGCCCAATGTCAATTGATAAACAAATGTATCAGTTACTGCAAAAAAACTTCTAAAAATCGAATTTTTTTAATTCCTATATCTTTTAAACGAAAAAAGATTTTTTTACTTTCAGAGTATGTAATCCTTGGCAAGTAGAACTAGTGCATTTTTGTAAAATTGCAAAATATTTGATAGTTTTTGCAAAAGTTGAGTTTTTCGAAAAAATACATTTTTTTCAAATTTCAATAAATCATACAGTAATGCACTTACATGATCCATCTTGGACTTAAAATTTTCTCTAACAGTTGTACTTTCCTGGGAAAATTCGTTAATTCCTATGTTCTAAATTGCTTCGTTTTGCTAAAAGATGTCAGAGTTGGCAAAACATTTAGATTAAATTTGTTGCGCAAGTACTTGGGTATAGATCTCATTTGACATAGTAACAAAAGTAATTTCATTTGGAGAAATCGGAAAAATACCCGCATATATTTGTTGCTCGTAACCTTATAATTTCAGTTTCTTATTTTTCTCACTAGTATTCTTAAATTTCTTAGGGATTTAACTTAATTATTTTCAAAACCATCATTAACATAGTTATTTAATTTCATCATAAGATGGAAATAATGCCAAGTACAGTTCCGACATTTATAAATGCATTTGGTATTATCTATAACCCCTTAAAATTAAAACCTTGCTTTGGAAAATACCCTGTATATGCAATTTTTTCAGCGACGAGCCGCTGGAGAGCCCCGATAATAAACCGTTCGAGAAGAGTGACCCTAAGGTTGCAAAAGATGATGGATATAAACGCGAGAATAGATCAACGAGCAAATATAATAAGAAAAAAAAGCAGGAACGCAATGAATTGTACAGATGTGATAAATGTAGTTACAAAACTGGAAGTAAGATCCGTTTTGCAGCACACTGCGCTAGATGTGGGAAAGATTCGGAAGTGTACAAGTGCAAAACGTGCGTTTATACAACTGAGCATGAGAAATTATTTCAAAGGCACCAATTTCGGCATAAATACCCTTCGCAGATTCAAATGTACAGATGTAACGACTGCGATTACGAAACTAAAAAAAAGAGTAATATCAACCAGCACCAACTGACGCATAAAGATGCTTCACAGGTCCAGTTATACAAGTGTAACGAGTGCGATTATAAAACTAAATACCGCTACTACTGTATAAAACAACACCAATTGATGCATAAAGATCCATCACAGGTTCAAATGTACAGATGTAACGATTGCGATTTCGAAACTAAATACAGGAATCTTATCAGACGGCATCAACTGAAGCATAAAGATCCATCACAGGTTCAAATGTACAGATGTAACAAATGCGATTACGAAACTAAGTACAAAGATAATCTCAGAAAGCACCAACTGAAACATAAAGATTCTTCTGAGGTTCAAATGTATAGATGTAACGACTGCGATTACGAAACTAAGTACAGGAGTCATATCATACGCCACCAAGTGATACATAAAGATCCTTCGCAGGTCCAGTTTTTCAAGTGTAACGACTGCGATTATGAAACTAAATACAGGAGTGGTATTACATGTCACGTGTTGACGCATAGAAAGCCTTCTTAAATGCCATCGAGTAGTGTTGGCAACTGAAATCGGTTTTTTGGATAGTCGATTAACCGGTTCCAGACGATTTGGATTTTTACGAAACCCAAAAACAGGTTATTCGATTCTTCAAATAACCGATTATTCAAATAGTCGATTATTTGATAATCTATTCATTCAAACATCCGGATAATCGGATTCTTTCTTTATTGACATATTGGCTACTTAGCACGTACATAGTAGATACAAAATTAGGTGGAACTATTAAGGGAAATACAATTTATTTTTATATGTACTTTATCCTCGACACAGACACAGATTGATTAAAAAAACAATCACCTAAACACCAAACCTGTTTATACAGGGCGTCCCAGAAAGACCTCCCATAAATACAGGAGGTGATAGTACGACAAAAAATAAGAATTTTTAGTCATGAATTATATGTCTATCTCCTCTTGTTTTCTAGATACAGAGCGACAAAATAAAATTTTTTAAATAAAATTTGTACGAAAATTTCCAAACGGTACGAAATATTTTTATGAATGTTGGTATTGCGGGGTTTTTAAGGGTGCCAAATACGTTAGTCTAATTATTTTTTGGATATTTCATAGGGCGCTAGTTATGCTACATTCGTATTACATTTTAATTACTAATTTTTTTAAGGTTAGGTTCTTTACCATTCGGGCTCCAATTCACTTTTCCGACTTTTGCCAGCACTTCACTTTTTTTTTAACGTATTCGCATTCTGTACTAAAATGAAGTGTACCTTTGTAAAAGTTTCTCTATACCTAAACCCAGTGGTTTTCACTTTATTTACTAATAAACATTTCCCTTTTCTTAAATTGATGTTTTCCTTTGTTTCGCACATTTTAGGTTGGCCGTGACAGGTAAGTAACAATCAACATGACAACTGCAACAGGTTTTTAATTGTCAAATTTATTTAGTTTAGATATACCGGGGTCGGCATATGTCAGGCAACGCTTTCGAAACTCTTCGCGGACAGCTTGACATGCTTCGCCGGACCTGCCTCTCCGTTGAAAAACGTTGCCGTACATGCATCGATCAAGATGGGCATCAATTTGAACACTTACAGTAACCCTTTTTCGAATCCCTTTTGTAATTTCTTTTAAATATATTTTGAGGCTGCATTTTTTTCCCTTAATGCAAATTGGTTGCCTGATTTATGCCGACCCCGGTATGCTATTTTATTTGGGACACTAAAAAATAGTGTGTATAGCACTCCAGTAACAACCAAGGAAAATTGTAAGGCAAGCATTTGAGCATATCTCACCGGATTCTATGAGAGCAGCGACCCACGAGGAACTAATTCGAAGGTGTGAAAAATGTTTAGAAGTTGAGAAGTTGCAGGAGACATTTTGAACATTTTTGAAAATAAATTTGACAGTTAAAAATCTGTTACAGTTGTCATGTTGATTGTTACTTACCTGACACGGCCAACCCAAAATGCGTGAAACAGATGGAAACGTCATCTTAAGAAAAGGGAAATGTTTATTCGTAAATAAGATGAAAACCACTGGGTTTAGGTATAGGGAAAATTTAACAAAGTTATACTTAATTTTAGTGCAGAATGCGAATACGTTAAAAAAATTAGGGGTTTCCATTTACAAATTTCGAATTTTCCACATTTTCTGAACTTCTTATTCGATAATTTTCTTTGACCACCCTGTATAAAAACTGGAAAATTTTCATGTCAAATTCGATAAATTAGGAATTCCTCTACAAAATGTCCAATTTGCACAAAAAAATAAACCTGTGTTTCCGGAAAACTAAATTTTGCTGACAGTCTGCATCTGTCAATTTTTTCTTAAAAATCGAAATATCTCGGTCAATCCTAAGTATGGAGTGTGCTATATGTTTTCATCTTAAAAATAGATGCTCTTTCCAAAAATGCAATAATATACAGGGGGTTCCATTTAAAATAAGATTAGTATCGACTTCCAGTATAACCGGAAGTAGGATGACCTTGAAAATATTTTAACTTGGCAGGCCCCACACCATCACAATTTTAAAAAAATCCTTCGAACGGGTGGGACACCCTGTATATTCAAAAATGGAAGCATTTAAGAGCTACAAATGGGAATATGATAATATATGTTCGTAAATATTGGAATAAGATGTAAGTTAGTGAAGTGTTGATGTCTGTTTTTCTGTTCTAAATTATTTATTTTGTAAATTTCAGTTGTGTACATGTGGATGGGAAGGTTTTGGCAAGTCGCTCAATGTATTTTGTACCAACTACCTAAATTTAAAAAAAATAATATTCATAAATATTTGTAATTTTGAAAAATTACTCGCAATTTTTTTTCAAGTTATCGAAATAAAAAATTGCTACTCCCAATTTTTTCAAGGAAATGTGTTGATTTTCAATTTGTCTATTTACTAAGAAAAGAAATTCACAAAGTTTAGAACCATAGACCACCTAGACTGGCTGTATCTAATTCCAATGCGCCGGTATCAGTGAATGCAAATTGCGGGGAAGTTGAGGGTGCGAGGTAATCTGACTGCGCATACCTTAGAGCACATACTACAGGTCCGGATTGAACAATATTTTTACACTTATGACAAATATTCATTTTTCAAGTTTGGAATTCAGAAAATAATATATTTTAATGTCTTGCTTATACTAAATAAACCTACAAAATAATTTAAGTATATCTATTGTCCTTTAAGTAATGTTAGTTTATTTAATATTGTCTTTTCGTAAATATTTTGACTGTTCTATTAAATGATAACAATTGCTAGGGAGGTTGTCAAATTGATGTTCATGCAAATTTTCGAATACGTTTACATTCAAAAAGTTTTTTAATACATGATACACAATTTTATTTTTCTGTAGTTTGGGTGTACCTTTCTTATAGTCATTAAAAAAATATATATTTTTTCTGTTTCTTAAATTGTCGTTTTTCTTTTTTAAACGACATTTCGACTCTCTTCACCAACTTGTTCACTTCTATTTATACAATGTCCTACAATACATTTGCCCATGAAAGAATAATTAATTATTGAAATCAAAGCGACACGTACAGCTCAAAATTCCAGATACGACCGATGCTGGGCTACCGACTAGGCTCCCAACTGCTTTCATCATAATCGCCCTATAGCCAGTCTAGATGGTTTAGAACAATGTAAAACCACACCTTTTATCAAAAAATCGATGAGTTCATGAAAAAATTCGCGAATTTATTCATGAATTAATTTTCACTGTAACAACAGCTGTAAGTAACACTATTGTATTTTGTTAGTAATATTTTAAGGCTTAGAAATAAGGTTTAAACCCTAATATAGTTTTTGTATTGTAGGCTTGAATGAATTAACTAAAATTTAACTGTACATGCTGATTTTATAATACCGTACCTATCTTATTATAACACTGTTCCATATCGGACAACTATGTTAACAGTAATGTTTCTTTTTTTTCATTTATTGTAGCACTTGAGCAGAAGGCACTTGTTTCGAAATATATATGTTTTGAAAGTATCCACATTAAGATTTGTGTTTCATATAACTGAGAACGAAAAGAGAAAAGTGTAACTAACAGTGCTGCCTTACTTCTGCTACTACCTCTAGTCCACAGTACAGGCCCCCTCTGAAAAGTTGATTACCACATACTTTATAACTCCTGAGGAGCTTCGTTTTGACGAGTCTACCACACTTTTCCTCTGCGACTTTTCTCGATTCCTCCGCTTTTCCNATTTCTAAATTATTTTAATTATTTCTACTATTGGCATTGGAAGTTTCAAAGCCAAATATCTCGGAAACGGTGCGAGACAGCTACTTTCATAAAGTTTTTGTGTAAAAAAGTTGGAAAATAAGAATTTGATACCATAGATGAGATACCTTAAAGTACAAAAAAGTTATGTCGTTTCCAACACCTTCAATCTACGACAACTGGCGCCCTCTATGAACTATAACCAAAATGTGAACAAATTTTAATTCCTCTATCCAAAGAACCCCAAACCTCAAAATTTTGTGTAGATATTTGCATTTATTAAGAAATGAATGGAAATAAACTAAAACAATATTTTACATTTAAACCCTGTTATCTCTTTAACTATCAACTTTTGGACTAAGGTAAGTTCGGCTAAATCGCAATATATTTGCTTCGGGGAATCTACCCATGAAATTTGGCCCATTACCTCGGGACTACCCTGTATATTGATTATATAATTTTGATGTCAACCTCATAAAAATTTCCTTCTTTTTTCCTGGTTAATCCGCTTTATGTTAGAACAAGAACATGGCACCATTTAGGAACCTGCGTGATTTGGTAAGACGTATCCTTCCCATTTTGTCTTCTTTCATGCACCTCATTCCATTCATGAGGTAACCTCATGCTTCCAAAAGATCTGACCGGGCAATCTGCGGCACAACACGATCATCCTACAAATAGGCACGGTTCACGTATTTGAACTCGTCGTCGGAACCGTCGGTACCAGTTAAAAGTGCAGACAGTCCAGATAGACCCTGCGATATTCGAGGCAGGTCCTCGGACACGCACGCGTACGTGCCCCAAGGACACACCTCGACGGCGTCCCGCATATGTAACTAGGCAAATGAAGACGGTGTGCACCGCACCGAGAGGTTAAGCAACTAATAAATTAAGTCGGACGCAAGGACGTGGGCTCCATCTTGAGTTTTTCCTCGTTCGGGTTCTCAAGGTTCAGGAAATAATGGCACAACTGAAACGAGGGGGACGTGGCGCTTATGGCAACGGTTTGGGCAACGGATGAGCGTGCGTAACGACTTAAAAAGTTCTTGGTTTTATGGGATGCGGAAACTCAAATTCGTCATCTTCGTAGCAAAACAGGTACCTACCTATTCAGCTAATTGGAGCGGATTTTTAAATTTCGTAAAACTGTGTTTTGTCGCAGATGATCGGCATTACCCAGAAACTTCAATTAATTACAACGTTTTATTGACGTTCAAGTAGGTATGGAACGATTTTCCTGCAGCTATTTGAGCATATAATTTTGCCTACAAATAAAAGCAACATACAGGGTGGGCCACCAGTAACGCCTCGGTCGCTAGTGACCAAACGGCAAATGTTACAGAAACCTGTTTCGGTGGGTATGTGTAGGTTGATTACGGCTACATTTTAAAAATATTTTGAGATATACAGGGTGTACCATATCAAAGTTATGTTTTTTTAAATGGAACACCCTGTATTTTACTGCATTTTTGAAAGCACCGTAAAAAAATAGGTGAACTTTATTAAAGGTTCTGCATACCTAGGACTTACAGTTTGTGAGATATTTCAATTTTAGTGAAAATGCAGGCATAGCGTAGAAATTTAATATTAGCAATAAAAAAATAATTTTAAGGAAGCAGCTTTGGAGGGTCTATTTTAGATCCTTGAAGTTATAAATTGTTATATTTGTCGTCACTTAGTATTATACAGGGTGTTCAAAAAACTGCTGAATACTTCTCTCAACTTTAAACAGCAATA